GCATAGGGAAAAACAATCTAGAGGTTGGTAATTGAAAAACATAAGATTAACCTTTGAGATAATCAGAATTCGTATCTTTGCAATCCAAGTCAACCACTTCCCCTAGCATGTTTTGCTCTTATAAAGAAAAGTCAAGTTATTTTCGCTTTATTATTTTTTGCAAAGATTTCACCAAAACAAACCAACCAATTATTTTTGTTCAATTGAACTATTGGGGAACTTAGTATTTACTACGCACTCCTCGAGATCGATCTTTGGGGTAAACCCGTTATTACTACATCGGTTAAAATAGTACACTTGCTATTTTCCCGATTATTAGACGCAGTTTGAATTTGACTTGAAAACAACTTTAGCAATCATTTACTGAATAAATCTTGAGTTTTATTATGTTAGTAAAAAGGTTTTTAATTGGTTAGTTGTTTTGAATTTAGTTGACTCATAAAGAAGAGTTTGTCTTCCTTAAAATTAAATCGCATTGCGCGAAGATATTGAATTTGGTTACTAAGGAGTTGATCCTTATTAAAATTAAATCATGTGAGGCGAAAAAATTGATTTGATGTGTTAAATGAATTTTAAATATTTTGAATTTGAATAATTAATTGGTAAGGTGTTGAGTCAACCACTTAATTTTCGAGAATGTGAAATTCTTTTATTTATGAAATATTGAACTAGTTTGTGTTTTTAAAATTTAACTTAGAAAAATCAAAATTAACCTAAATAAATAAAGAAAAGATTAAAGTGATTAAACAAGTAAATAGAGTAACTAATTAAATTAAATGAGCTAGAAGGATGCAAGCATAGGATTGAGATTGTATTAGTAAAAATATATAGAAACTAGAAGGAAAAGAATGTCAAAGCCCATTCGATATCTCAAAAACCCTAATATGTAATTATTCTAATAAAATACAAATAAAGTTTAAAAAAAAAAAATCAACAATAACTTAATAGGGGCTGTGTCCTTGTTCTTCGTCAATTAGAAAGAGTGAGAAGTACATTAATTATTTCATATTGTTATGAATAGACAATTTAGTTAAAGAGTATATGTGTAATTGAATTATTTCTTTTAGATGAAACTAAGATAAATAAATATATTTAATTATTTTTTTAATAAACATGAAACTTGATTTTTTGCTTATAAATCAAATCGAAATAGTAACATATAACAACTTATTAAGTAACAATAAGGGAGGTAAAAGTATGCAACAAAACAAAACACATCGAAATTTTAATATGATATTAAAGACAAAACGTAATCACTAATTTTTACTGAATTATAATTTTATGAGAATTTTTCTTTATATTTAATAGTAGTGATTTTTACCATTGAAAACTTAAAAATACCCTTTGGATATACACTTCCGAATGCACCTTGTGAATTTGAGATATTGAGTTATTTCAGATATACATATCTGAAGGAACTCCTATTTTTCATTTTCAGGTAGATTTCGAATATACATATTCAAAATAACCAAATATTTCAACAAAAAAAAATATTTGAAAAAGATATTTATTTATAATATAGTTAAATTGAAGGGTTAAATATACGATGCCCCCTACTAATAGGACGAATTTTGATTTTCCCCCTTGAAGTATTTTTTTTGTGATCTCCCCTTAGAAAATGAAGATTCTGTTTGCATAACCCCATATTCTATGTTTGATTGACTGGGCATGGGGAATCTTCCTAGTTGACATCCTAGATTTGCTGACTGAATTATTTCAAATCAAATGCCCAAAAAATTATCTCACATATCGCCTCACCAATGATTCAAACCCAGGATCCTTGGCTCATACATCAAATGTCCAACCATTGTACCATATGTCTTATTGTTGCTATTAATCACCTCGAAATCAATTAATACAAAGTCTTATTGTTCCTTCCATCTTCTTCTCAAGGAAATCAAAAGATACCCATTAGAAGCAACTTGCTATCCAAAAGATGAACCATGGTCAGTCCTGCATAATTTCTGCTTGAAATCATGAACCAAACCAAAACTAACTTTCATGAATAAAACCGTGCAACATGAAACAGAACAAAAACTAACTTTCAATCACTAAAACTAAAAAGAGTAAAGTAGATGGAAAGATGCATGCATGTGGTCATGATTCATGTTGCTATGCTTCTTGGTGCTGCAAACATCCTAAAAAAACATGAAAAATATTTATAAGTATGGTTTCAGGATAAAATTTGCTATCTGCATTTTTAGTTTACATTTGCAATTACTTTGTAGTTTACAAGTATATAGAAAATGAAAATAGAAAGTAAAGTACAAAATGGATTATTTGGAGTTAGTGTATTGGTGATTGTAAATTCATATCAATTAATTCACAAAATAAGTAAAAATAATTAAAAATCCAAATTTCTGAGCTTGAACTTTGGACCATCTGATCTTGATCGGACAACGATCAAATATGTTTTATGGACATCCAGACTGTAGCAAAACTTGATCCTTTAAAATACTCCAATCTGTAGGTTATGCATTTTTGCTATTTAAGATGTTTATGTTCTTAATTCAACGATGCCAATAGTCACACATGAATTATGTTTTTGACATTTCCATATTGGCAAACTGATGCCAAATTTTGAGTGTTCATTATCCCAATTGTGTATGTTGCAGTCATCTTAGCTATCATATGACATGCCTGCTTAAATCTTTGCAACATAACTCAATGCACCAATTATTATTGTAATTGTAGCAAACACATATCAAGAAGACTTGACCATTATATATTATCTGTTTATAGAATTGTGATGTTATTCCTTATTTTGTATAGGGAACTATTGTTATTGTTTTTCAACTAGCAAGCATACCTCTAGGTGAAATGGCTTCTAAGTCTGGTCCTATCTTAGCTGGATGTGGCTTATTTGATGCAATAATAAGTTGTAGGGGTGGTCAGCCCTGCATAATTTCGGCTTGAAATCATGAACAAAATCAAAACTAACTTTCATGAATAAAATCGTGCAACATGAAACAAAAAACCCTAAAATCAACCCTAATTTTCAATCAAACTCCGCTAAAGTTCAAATTGCACAAAAATTATAAAACCACAAATCGATTTCTGACGACGAAGATGCCCCGTCGGAGTGCAAGAATCCACTTCATAGCTTGGTCGTGTCTCGTACTTCCAAATGTCCATGAGAAGAAAGAGGCAAAACGGAACCACCGAGAGAAACGGAGAGCGTCTAACGCCATTTTTTCAGATCTTGAATTTGCTTGGTTTTCTTTGTTTGAGATTCGGAGGATGAGAGTTGAATGTATGGAATCTGGACACACTTGTCATTGTGTATAATTTCTTGAATTTTCTTGATCCAAATGATTTTAAGATTACTATTGAAAGTGAGAATGAAGATGATAATATGTGATGATTAAGATGACTATTGGAATTTACTTTATTTATTATTTGCTGTGTGATTTTATCAAAAAAATATTATAGTTTAGTTGGCAAGAGGTGTATCTTGCATCTACAAGATACTAGGTTCGATTCCTAGTTGTTGTAGTGTTTTAGTTTGTTTTTTCTTAATTAATTTATACATGTAATTAATAATAATTCAGTCAGCAAGTCTAGGATGTCAACTAGGAAGGTTCCTCACATCCAGTAAGCCAAACATGGAATAGGGGGTTCTGCAAACAGAATCTTCGTTTTATAAGGGGCGAATCACAAAAAAAAAATACTTCAAAGGGGGAAATCAAAATCCGCCCTATTGGTAGGGGGCATCATATATTTAACCCTAAATTGAATTATTATTAATAAAAAAAAACTTAAATTTATAATTGAAAACTAAATATTAAAGTAAATTTATTATATAAAATTAAACAATGAATGCAATAATTAAATTTCTAATTATAATGGTGAAATGTAATAATTGATATATTTTATAATAAAATAAAATATAATTAAATAATATCGGTGTTCTAAACCTTGTGTTTCCGTGACTCTGACATTTACGCGATCTAACATAAAAAACTCATTTTTTTGAAAAATCGATTCTGAATTAAAAATTTACAGTGTCAATTCATCCGAAAAAAATAAAAAATTAAGATCCCTATTTTGTGAACTCCACCCTAAAAACCATAAATTCTTTGTTTTTCTATTTTATTTGACTGATTTTCCATTTTCGTATTTTCAAAAAAATCTGAAAAAATTTATAAATACTTAATTTAATTTAATTTAATTTTTAGTTATATTTTTAAATTTTTATAACAAAATAAAATTCAAATATAAATATCTAAAACTATTTTTTCATAAAAAATAAGGTTCATTCGAAATATTTTTTTTATAAAAATTGAAGTGTATTCAAATATACAAAATTTGAAACTATTTTTTTAATAAAAATGAGATATTTTGAATTTTTGTAAAAAAAGTTTAAAAAAAAGTATTAAGTGTGGAAAGATATTCTCTTATTTAATATCAACCATTTAAAAGAAGCACATGAGCAACCAAAATCAGAACACTTGTAAAAACGGTAACACTAGTTTCTACAATCAAAAGATGTGGTTGGATCATCGATGAGCAAAACCTGCTAACCATCACTATGCATTTGTTATGCATTGGTTTAATACAAATTCAGTCAAAGAGTGATTACACGTCACATTTATAGTAACTCCATCACCCAACATCTACTTCCCGGTGGATGGAGTTAGTATCAACTCTAGATATTCGTATCTCCTAAAGTCTTCTCTCATGTTTAATAAATATCGTCGTAGTCACATTTAATGATTTCATTTCATATATATATTTTACTTGAAGATTCCCAAGACTATATTGTAAGTTCGTCACGGGTGACGTCAAAGTCAAAAATAAAACCGACGGAGTCGGCAAAACTCCTTTACTTTCCATCCACCTTTCTCTTCATATCTCGACTTTCCTTTCTCTTCATATCTCGACTTTCCTTTACAAGTGGAAGCTATCTTTATGCTTACTAGTACATATCAATAGTTTCTTCAATTCTAAACCCATTTGAAAGAAGAGTTTTCAAAGAGAGTGCAAATACAAATTTCACGATGTCCATAACAGCACCACAAACCCACCTTCTTGCATACCCGTTCCCAACTTCAGGTCACGTAATTCCCTTCATCGACCTTATCAAAAATGTTGTCTCTCGCAACGTACATGTCACTTTTATAGTAACGCCATCCACCCAACATCTAGTTTCCAGTGATTACTCCCCTCTCCTTCAAACCCTCCTTCTCCCCCAACCTCAATTTCAAAACGGCCTCATTGGTATCATCTCTTTCATCCGCAAATCCCACTACCCAATCCTCCTTGACTGGGCCCGAACTCACCCTTCACCCCCTTCAGCCATCATCTCTGACTTCTTCCTTGGCTGGACTCAACTCCTCGCACAAGACCTCCACGTCCCGCGTTTAATCTTTTCCCCCTCTGGCGCCTTCGCGCTCTCCTTTTCCTTCTATTTATGGCGCAATCTACCCCAAAACGACAACCCGGATGACCCCAATACCGTCCTTTGCTTCTCAAAACTACCGAATTCCCCGAGTTACCCCTGGTGGCAAATCTCAGAACTATTCAGAAAACTTAAAGGGGAAACCGGTTGGGATATACTAAAAAACGACTTTCTGTTTAATTTTGAAGCTTGGGGTGTTGTTTTCAACTCGTTCATTGATTTGGAACCAGCTTACTTTGACCATATAAAAAAAGAACTCGGCCACGAAAGAGTTTGGGCAGTGGGTCCAGTTTTGCCAACTGAACCCGGTTCAACTGGACCGGAAGAGAGAGGTGGGGTCAACACTATTTCATGCGAAGTAATCACCACGTGGCTTGATCAGCGTGAGGACCGTTCGGTTGTTTATGTCTGTTTCGGAAGCCGTACGATTCTCACGACAGCACAGATTGAGGTTTTAACAGGTGCATTGGAGTTAAGTGGGGTCAATTTCATACTATCTGTAAGGGCTCCTGATGAACGACACGTGGCGCAGGATTGTGGTAAAATACCGAGTGGTTTCATTGAACGGGTGAGGGGGAGAGGGTTGGTTATCGAAGGATGGGCGCCGCAGTTGGTGATACTGAGTCACCGTGCAGTGGGATCGTTTTTGACTCACTGTGGTTGGAACTCGGTGTTAGAAGGTTTGGTTTCTGGTGTTGTGATGCTGACATGGCCAATGGGTGCGGATCAGTATACGAATGCGAAGCTGTTAGTGGATCAGTTAGGTGTAGCGATTCGAGTCGCAGAAGGGGAAGAGAATGTTCCAGAAATCAATGAGTTTGCGGAAATAATGAAAAGATCTTTAGGTGGGGTGAAGGAGAGGGTAAGAGCTGAAGAGATGAAGGATGCTGCATTGGGTGCTATCAAGAAAAATGGAAGCTCTCAGAAACAGTTAGATGCGCTGGTGAAGGAGCTAAATGAACTTAAGAATGACTAGTTCAAATTTAAGTAAGCGTCTTTAGAGAAAAAGTTTGTGTTTCAAGTGACAGGTGATTCAATTCAAAGTCTCTTCCATTGGCACTATTTTTTTTCTGTTTTATTTGTCATGTTTGTATGATTCTGCCGGTTCATGGTAGAATTTGTGCGTATTATTAGAAGGCTTTTGTTTTAATTTTGAGTCATTTACTTCTGGTATAGGGGCTTGAGGGCTGAGAGACAATAGTGGTGCCCATTGTATAGGTGTGTGATGTTATTAGGTTGGCAATTGGAACTTTCGATAGGTGGTAAACAAATGCTTATGAAAATTGTCATGATTGTGAATAGTTCCTTGGAACGTGTATTGAATAGTAGTTATAATTAATATATTATAAAAAGTTGGTTAATAAAGTAACGAATTCGGATAATAAATACTAGATATTAAAATGTTTAGATATTAAAAATAATAGTAAAACTAGTCGATAATCCGTGCTGTCGCACGGGGCCGGTCGAGAATTCATAAAACGTGAAACTAATGTTGTCATGTAACAGTAAATTCGTTTTTATGTAATTCAATAAAAGTTCATCTAATTCGGCTAAATTTAGTGTATCAAACTTATTTGACAACATTAAAAAATGTAAACTGAAATCATGATTGTGTAACAAAATAAGAAACTGTGATGACTCTTCAAAATAAGAAACTATCACGAGTCTTCAGATACAACGCAACCAGCTTGGAAACGATGTTTTCAACTTTTTGACCTGCACAATAAATTATGCAAAAATTAAACAGCATTTACGGAAACAATTTATATTAAAGAAAATATTTGTTATTATGTACTTACCGATCAACAAAGAGATTGGAAAACTTCTTTGTATACAACATTTGTAGTGATAGATGTTGATACATTCATACTATCATGTATTAAGATCTTTAGACCACTTTTGATTGTAACTCTTGAAATGACTACATACAATTGGCTATGACTGAATACAGGAGTAGGCAAATACAGTTGATTAATAGTAAAATAAAGTTGATTAATTTAATATAAACATTTCGTTAATAAAATAATGAAGTTAGTTAATAAACTTTAGAATTTAAAAATATTTTTAATAACATAACAAATTTGATTAATATAATATAAAATATTGATTAATGAATTATGAAGTTGATTAATCATAATTTTATATCAATATCTCTTAATCTAAAATAAAATAAAAATAAATAATTTTATATTTTTAAACAATAAAAAAGATATAAATTTAATTGCAGTATTGATTTTTTTTTATGGTTTTGGTTTCTTTATTAAGTTTTTAGTCTTTGATTTTTTTTAAGATTTTAATCCTTTTCAATTTGAGAGTATTTTTTTATGACATGTCATCTAGTTTGCTAATGTGTCAATATCAACTCTTTAAAAATTAAACCTATTTTTTTTAATTTCATATATAATTTAATGATTTTTTAACTTATTTTCAAATTTATTAATCAAATATTATTAAGTTAAATATGTTTTCGATCCTTCTAAATATTTTATATTTTATTTTTGTTCATGTATAAAATAAATATTCGATCGATTTCTCAAGAGTGAGTTTATGAGATGATTTGGGGATTTGGGAGCTACGACAGTGATGCGTGCATTCCAAGATGAATGTCTGGCTTATCCCTCTGTCGGGAGCCCCTTTATATAGTGAGTATCTTTATTTCATTAAGAGCATCAGTTAATGAGCGACTCTTGAGTTCCATAACTACGTAACCTCTGTCGTCTTCATGAATGAAGATGATTAGTGTTGCATAACGTAATAATGAATGCGCCTCGACAGTTATTAGCTTTAATGAGCCGAGATGATGATCGGTTATGGGCAGGTGCCTCTCGGCTACCTACCGTATCTGGGTCGATGGTGACAGCGAGTTACTACCCGAGTCTATGGGTCGTCGGACACTCCCTTAGCCGAGTTGCACCCCGGGTACCTTTGTAACGCCCGTAATTTAATTAATTATTTAATTAAATTATTTTTGGAATATTTGTGAAGAAGTGTTATTAAATTGGACTTATTTTATTAAATGGAGAAATAATAATATATTTGAGGTATTATATTATTATGTGAAATAATGTTAGAAGCTAATATTATTTAAGGTGGGTTTAATTTGAGATAGTAGAAGTAATAAGGGGGTGTAGGTTTTGAGCCCATTAAGAAATAATCTAATAATATTAAGTTATTTTATTATTTGTTGTTAGAATAGAAGGAAGAAACAGTAAGAAGAGAAACAAGGATTGTGGAAACGTGAAGCTGCTGGTTTTTGAAGGAAACGGTAAGAACAAGATTCAATCCGGAAATTGTAGAGCAACTTTCGATCCAAGGTAATGGTGGGGTTCTGGCTTTATAATTGAGTTAATGATATTTGATATGTGGGATTAGATGTAATTGATCTTTTGTTATTGGATTGAATGATGTATGGTGAATATTGATGAATTCTCGATGGATAAATGATGATATGATGTTGTGTAATCGGCGTTGTATTATAAGTTAATGTTAAGTGATAAATTATCATGGTTAGGATGAGGTTTGTAGGACTGTAATTAGATTCCAGTAGTGAAAATACAGTAGAAACGCAGAGAATTATGCAGAAAATCGCAGAATGCGTCGACCTCAAATTGGATGAGTCGATGCAAGGAGGGTGTTTGACTCAGGATGAGTCGATGCATGAAGGTTTACGTCGATGCATGATGAGTGCAAGACTCAGAATGAGTCGACGCGAAGAGAAGATGCGTCGATACATGAGTGTGTGAGACTCAGGATGAGTCGACCGATACGATGCATGTGTCGATACATGCTGGGATTTTGAGGCAGGATGAGTCGATCCATAAGGAGGATGCGTCGACTCATAGTATGAATATGAAGCAGGATGTGTCGATGCATAGTGTTTTGTGTCGATGCATACTGAATAATTTTGACAGAATCAGTTTTTAAGTTGTTGTAACTTGAGTTGTAGGATGCTGATTGAGATACCGTTCGAAGCGTTGATTAGCTAACGCAATGGATATTATTTTAGATGATTAAAATGATGATTAGGAAGTGTAATCCCAGTAACTAATTTAGGATTTAGAATTAATCCCCGTAGATGACAGTTATGCTGGATTTTGGACAGAATGATGATATGAGATGTTAGAGGCTACTGTTAGAATTATGACAGTAGGGTTTAATGATAATAATGATGTGCAGTAGCAGAATAACAATGTGGATTACTGTATTATTGATATACAACTGAGTTATTAGTAAGATGTGGTAAATCAAATGATGTTTGATAAATAAGTAATGTTTACTAAATTACTTTGAGATGTTTATGAGATGCTGTGATTGAGATGTTGATGTTTGAGATGACTGAAATGTTGTCGTTTTGATGATTGAGATGTTGTTATTTGAGATGAATGAAATGTTGTCGTTTTGATGATTGAGATGTTGTTGTTTTGAGATGTGTTTTGAGATGTGTTTAACTGAGTGTGTTATTACATTCATGTTGAGTCGCATACATTGCATTTTTTTGAGATGGTCTGGATTGGAAAATTTTGAGATGAAGGCTATGCCTTATTGATGCCTCTATTAATTGGCAGATTAGATTTTTGAGATGGGAGTTCTACTCCAATGGTACCACATGCATTTGCATAGTTTTGAGTCGCATCATATGAATGAATAATGAGATGTATTTGATGTTGATGAATGAATATATATGTTGTAATTATTGTTGATTATGAGATGAGAAGTGGTGATATGAATGATCTAATTTAATATATTGATTATCATGCGCTTTATTATATTGTTAGATATCTCACCCCTTCTGTTTGAATGTTGCCCTTATGTTGGTAACGTGCAGGTAATCGAGAGTGAAGACCGTATACCTTCAATAGATCGAGTCGGTGTAATTGCTCTGATATGTAACACTCGGGGGGATGAACGCTTGCTGATTTTTGATTGCTGATTTTTAGTTGTTGAACTTTAAATTGTTTATTTACTAAATATGAGATGTTTCGAAGTTGTTGCTATTTTATTTAAAGATGTATTCGAAGATTTCCGCTGCGTAGTTGTTGAATATTTTATGAAAGATGTTATGTTGTTGGTTCACCCGACGTTTTGAAAAAGTGTTATATATCCATGATGAATGCAATGAATTTATTAGAAGAATTTGTGACGTCCCGATTCATTTGTATGATTGAAATTTTATAACTCTTATTTATTTGCATAATTTGCTTGGGGTAGAATTGGGGTGTTACAAAGTTGGTATCAGAGCAAAAGGTTGGTCCGACCTTGTCGTCGAGTCTTAGTTGTCTAACAATCGAGTATTATTATTTTGAGTTCTAACAGTTGTTTGTGTTATAGTGAGAAGTTGTGATGGTTGGAAGGAATGATGTTGCTCTTGCTGCCGCTTTAGAAGCTATGACTCATGCGATGGAAAATCAGCCGAATGCTGACGGGAATGTTGGATCTCGTAGCTTGGCGACTTTCCAGAGAGAGAATCCACCTACGTTCAAGGGAAAATATGATCCTGACGGAGCATTAGAATGGTTGAAAGAGATTGAGAGGATCTTTCGCGTAATGGACTGCATTCCAGCGCAGAAGGTTCGTTATGGGACTCATATGCTAGCAGTCGAGGCTGATGACTGGTGGCTAGAGACTTGCCAGAAGTTGGAAGTTGCAGGTGAGGATGTCACTTGGGCTGTGTTCCGTAGGGAATTCCTGAGAACATATTTTCCTGAGGATGTTCGTGGTAAGAGGGAGATTGAATTCCTTGAGCTGAAGCAAGGGAATCTGTCTATTGTTGAGTATGCTTCCAAGTTTGCTGAATTGGCCAAGTTTTATCCGCATTACGCTGAGGAAAATGCTGAATTTTCAAAGTGTATTAAATTTGAGAATGGGTTGCGCCCAGAAATTAAGAAGGCGGTTGGATACCAGAAGATCTGTGTCTTTGCTGATTTGGTTGATAGCTGTAGGATTTTTGAGGAAGATAACAATGCTCATTACAAGATT